GATTTAAACATTAAAACTGGACCGAAAGCTTATCTCCACGAATTCTGGCTCGCGGCACTAGAGCATATTCTGTTTCTCGAATTGCAGAGAGCTACAGGGTAACGACACCGACGGCCACGGAAACTATGTTGCCATGGAAGCGAGAGGACGATTACGATTCCGGGCACCCGATTAAACAGAATGAATTTCCTGCTTGGTGTTCAAACAAGGAGTATCTGGCTTACAGTTCCCCCTCAGCCACATTCTTAGGTACGATCGATTAAATAATCCGTTCGATACCATATGAATATATATATATCGTTTCACCTCGAAGGATTAGATAGAAATTCGCGATGGTTTAATGCATTGATCTCATCGGCCGGATCTTGATACGTGATTTTAATCCATCATACACCTTTATACCTATCTTTCACCATGTAAATCTCTAAAGTGTTAAGAAGGATGATTCGTAGAGTGAAATCGAGTAAAGGATAGATGCTCGAAAGAATTACTCAAAATTGAATTGTTAAATTGATTATTAAATATATCGACCATTTGGAAAATTCTCGAAATGTCTAAAAGAATCATCTTTGTCAACACCTTTTAAAAATAAGATACTGAATCAGGTTGTACTCTTCGACACTCTACTCTAAAATCCTCTGACATAACAGCAACTTTTCTACTGGGCTCGGGTAACCCAGACAAAGAAAAAAAAAAAACCACCATTTTTATCAAAGTTATCGATTCATGGCATATTTTCTAAACTCTTGCGCGTTGTTTCAGGTATACTCTATCACGTAGCAGGTCTATTTTTCGATGCAAGGTCGACTCGATTTTTTTAATCAACATCAACTAAACACGTATATAAACCTGCGTGTCGTTAGATCTTCCGACAGATCGTATTTGAAAATTTATCTAGCTGTTAATTTTTAAGATTCATATCTCACATTTGACACTTTGTATTAACTGCCTGATTTGTGATTGTCGATTTTGGCAAAGGAGGAGCACGTAAAATTTTGAACAAAAAAGAAAACAAAAACGCTGCTTTACAGGAGAGCCGTATTTGTGAGGACAGGACAGCCTATCGGGCTCGGAGGATACTAGCCTCGGACTTCCGGCCGACGAACATGTAAATGTTATCCTCAGTCTCGTTTCCGAATTTCTGTGTCGTTTCCTCCTCTTTTTTTCTCGATCTACAAAAGTGAATGCAAAAGTTTCCTCCTTCGATTTTTGGGTTACCCAATCCCCTCTGAAGCTCTTCAATGATACACACTTCAACAATACCACTACATACATACATACATACATACATACGCACACAAAGCACTTTGTTACTATAACTTTGTATACACGTTGTGCATCGCAACATGATCGATCTTGTCGAATCTTTCGCACTCGCTCAGTCAGCCAGACTCAAAAACCGATCGTTTGCGATTGAAAAACACTTTTTCGTTGCCACGTTCTTCCACGAGCACTTGTGTTTCACACTTTTCTACCGGTGTACAGGGTGTTTCGGTTACTCTAGCCACCTACTAACTGATTTTCGAATTTGAAGAATCAATGGAGTTTTCATAAGAGTTGCATGTTTTGTCTGGCGAGAATTTAATGCCTTTTTGTTGATTTAATCTTAGAGTTAAGTACGTGTTTTGTACCAGTGGCATTTAGACTTTCTTACATGAGATTCGTTTAACTTTTTATCGGCAGGGTAGCGCCTCGAGATTTACGATAACTGCTTTTTTTTTTTTT